ATCACGATTACAGTGTCTTTTCTTTTGTGTTCTAATGGTTGCAATTAAGCTTTTTTTAATGTAGTGTGCTAGAAATGCAACAAGTGTGCAAGTACTGAAGTTGTTTTGAAGAATTATATGTGTGTCCTTGACATTATCGAAAGAGGTCCTGTTGCCTCCCCAAAGCAGAACTGAACAAAAGTTTCAATTCCTTCAGGCGCAGCGAGATCTACTCTGCTGCCTTTCTGCTTTTCCTTGAGCCTTGGTTGCTGCAAGCTTATCTAGATTATATTTTTTCACTCCTCGATGTTTTGGAATGTGCATGGCAATATGGATACCATAAGGGTGGATACAAGGGACAAACTTGGTATGTTGACATTGATAGAAAGGAAGACTACAGAATAAAGAATGATGCCTGTGTATAATTTTGTTTAGGAGATTTCTCAAGTAATTTGTGCCCTCCTACATTATGGGTAGTCCTAAGGGCTGCTATTTTGGTGGACTTTTCCTGTGGACTGTCTAATTAAAAGAAAATTTCTAAAGAAGGAAAGTGATTGTCAAGCTTTTGTTTAAACAGCTAGTAGGATAATCTGCTAAGTGTTGGAGTTCTATCTGTCCAAATACATTTCTGGACAGGATTATAGTGAGATGAATAAGGTGTAGGTTCGTGTTATTGGCTGGACCTTGGAAAAAAGTGATGAAGCTGCTGTTTTCCTCAGACACCTTCTGTCTCTGGGCTGAGTGCCCCTTCTGAACCCCTTTCATTTCCAGATTGCCTGACCACAGGGTGAGCCAATGCAGGAGGCTACCCTGATGGAAAATAATGTGGAGGAAGGGGGAGAGCAAGCAGATTTTAGGTTTTGGATGAACTCTTTTAATAGCTTTAAACACAAATTTGGATGAGCATTAGTACAAGGTAGAGGGAATTAAGTTTGAGGAACTGTGCCGTCATTCAAGCAGTACTGGATCAAAGGAGCATCACAGCACAGCCAACTCCCAAAGTTGTATTGCTTGTAGCTTTTCATGTCAGGCAGAGAAAGCAGCTGAGGAGGGAATGTTTTTTGGATATAAGGCTAATAGGTTGAAAATAGTTAAACATAAAAGTGAAGACAATTTCATTGACAATAAACTACCTTCAGTAATAAGTACGTGTTGTGAGGCAGATATGTGTGAAAGATTGAAGGGAAGCAAACAGAGAGAGAGAGGGAGGGAAGAAACTGTGAAGTCTCTTGTGTGGTTCAGATGGAGTTTTTGTAAGGTAACTGCACCTATTCCAATATAGTTTCAGTAAGGATACCTTCACACAGAAACTGATGAATAGGAACAAATAATACATGAACACGGTATTTACAGGAAAGGTTTACCTCAAAAGGAGGAACGACGAGGTTAGATCCACCTAGTAATGCATGTGCAGAAGAATATGCTGTAAATACTTGTAATAAAAGCCTTCTTCATTGCATTTGGTACCGAGATGATTGATGTGCTTATCTGCTATAGCTTTTCATGAGTCTTAATTCTTTTTTTTGCCCTTGATATTAATTTTAAAAGATGTTTTTTTAGTTTAGTGATGCAGCTGAGCTGGTTTAATGGCTAGCTGCTACCAGAGGGAATCGTCTTTCTCATTCCCTTTCCTCACTGCCTCCTCCTCCCCCACCCTGGCAGTTCAGGGAGCTAATTTGTCAGAAGACTAATTGCTTCTAATTGTTTTCAGGGGAAATAACAGAGGAGAGATGGCTTTCGGTGCTCTTGGTTCCTTAAGCTGTCATGAGTTCAGTCTGGCATGTGCTAATATGGAGAAAGACAGCTGGGGCACAAGACTGCGCCTTGCGGTGGTTGCTGTTAGATGGGTTTGCTTCTCATATGACAAATTACAGCCGTCGAGCTTGACTTAACTTGCCTAAAACTCATGCTAGGAATTCAAAGAAACAATCTCAGATAATTACACAGCAGTTTCAGAATTTCTGAGGGCCAAATGATGATCTAGAGGAGAAGAGGTAAAGGCACTGCAGCAGTGCTTCTTTAAATAATGTAAAACCAGCCGAAAAACACTTAAAAAATCCTAAACCAAAACTCTGTAACAGCCTGTTGAAAAGGTGGGAGCTAGAGGGCTACAGGCAAGCTATCTTAACAGCGGTTCCTGGAGGAATATGGGTCATGTAAAATATTTGACCCCCGTAATCATCTGAAAGGTACTCATCTCTTTGGAAAACAACTAATATGAATTTTTCAAGAAAACAGCCTGGCTAATCAAGTCCAGCATCTTTTGTGGTAGGGCAAAGAACCTAGTGGATAGTTGCATCTTGACTTTAAAAGGTTTTGTGATACTGCTCTGTTAATAGGGAAGATATCTGCTGGGAAAACTGTGTCTGGAAAGGGACAAACAGTCAAAGTTTAAAGATTTGTTAAATTTCTGAAGGGGACTGTCTTTAAACACCTGTTAGTGTTTTCAGGAGTGATTTGGACTGCATGCTAAATCAGGATAACATGAAAGGCAGCCAGCATGTTTGATCAGGATTTGGAATTTGAAATAATTCTGATAAACTGAGGAAACCGCTGCATTTTTGAATGGAAAGCTACCATTTCAGAGGAGTGAGGTGTTACATTTGGGTGGGAGTAATCAGCTGTGCAATCAGTGGAGAGTGCAGAATAGCAACTGTAAGCAGTAGTAGGTTAGTTGACATATTTTCATGTTAGGAAAAAATGCTTCCAAAGTTACCAGTCGCACCTGATTATATATATTAGGGGGGGAGAGATGTGCTGAGCAACCAGTTGAGATGTTGAAGTTGAAGGCAAGGTCACTGTTGCTAATTTCTGTCCAGCTAAGTGAGAACTTGGTGCATGGGAGTACAAAGGGAAGGTTGCCTTGTCTGCTTATTTTATTTAGTGGACTGACTCTTGAGTTGAAACAGGTATGAACAGCAGATAGTTTACCTGTGTCACTAGAGGAACTTATATCCAGTTGCTCTCATAATATGTGGTCCTCTCTACTCAGGTACTGAGTAGCTGGGATGAAAGTTGAGCAAAACTACGATTTGTGCCTTTGTTTCAAGAATATTGTTAAGATTCTTGAAATACTTGTTACTGAAGTCTGTTAGGAAATCAATATAGACTACTGGTAGTAACTAGCAGTGCCCATTTCCTGATGGATCAGAGAAATTGAAATCTTAATTTAGTATCTAACCCCTTTTCTTCCCTGGAAAAAGAAAAAGCATTTTTGTGTATTGAAAAACACAATTGGGATAAAAGTACCAGGAATCCTTCATATGATTATAAAAACAGCAATATTTTGTTGTTAATAAAAACCTGTTAGCTATTACTTTGTATTTGACATAGAGTTCCTACTGTACTTTATGGAAATAAAGCTTAATTCCTTGTTCTGCAACAGTTGTAGCTGTTGGAACAAAATCCTGAAGAGTTCTTACTGTTTATACAAATTTGAGGTGTTTGGCAGCAGGGCTTCCCTAAAAAGTAGAAGATAATTATTTTATACCATACCCGGGAAAGAATTTTAGCCACCATATCTCTTAGATGACATGTGTGTCTGCATTTAACAAATGCTGGCAGATCAGAATGGGTCCGGTGAACTTTCCTCATGACTGTATGATATGTCTTATTCTCAGGAAGAGTCTCTTTTTGTGAATTATACCTGGGAACACGTTTTAGTTTCAGGCCCCACCAACTCTGCAGTTTACCCTAAAACCTATTATATTCTTATTATTTATTTATTTTTAGTTTATACACATTATTTTACCTGCTTTTATAGTACTGAAGAGGGAATAAATTGAAGTCAGATAGACAAAGATGTGACAAGATCTTATGGCTTAACACTGATGTGTTTTTACTTCGGTATTAAACCCCATTATTCCTGTGCCCTTTCACTGCAGTTCCTGTTTGGAGTAATCTGGTTTATAGCACCTCCCTGATAGCTGTATTGCCACAGTGATGCATCACTGTTTTACTGAGCACCTAAGGAGGAACGGAATGGAAAACTGAGAAACCAGCTTCAGGACTAGGAAAAAGTACTTTGTTACATAGTCAGTAAACCATGCACACATCTTGCTCTGGTAGCTTTTGTTGGTAACTTTGTATGAACTCTGCTCCTACTACTTACTGTCTTGACAGGACCACAGAAAAATGGAATGCATTTGAATAGTAGCATTAGAAGAGTCCTAGAATTCATAGAATCATAGAAAGGCCTAAGCTGGAAGGGACCTTAAAGATCATTTTAATCCAGCGTCCCTGTCTCCAGGGACGCCACCTCTCGACTAGATCAGGCAACACATGGGGACCGAACGGGAATCGAACCTGCGACCTGGGCGGTGCACCACGCTCAACTGATTCAGTGTTACTAATTTGTTGCTTGGGTTGTAGTAGCACATAAATGTAATTTTAAGGTTGAAAAACAGTTACAGATTTCTAAAAGTTAATTATTCTCACGCTCATGATTTATAAAGTTCAATAATAAAGTCTATTTTATGGTTTAGGAGGGGAAAAAGGAGGGTAATGGAAAGCATTGCAATAAACAAGAATGTCTTTAGGAATCATTGTCTGTCTGGGTAAAAAATAGTTGCTTCTTAATAAGAGATGATGGCAAACCGCCTTTCCAGTTTTCTGACATCACTGGCAATATGTGGCTGTAGGAAACACGGAGTAATGCCAGAGTGAATATCTGTCTGCAGCTACTTGTTGCAATCTGTATATCCAGTCAATCTGAAGTGTCTCTAACGAAATGTGTAAGGATGGATTTATGTGGCTCAGTGTGCCAAGAACATGCAACTTAACTAAGTTTAGTAACTGAAATTGTTTGTATGACAGGGAGAGCTCCACCTACTGGAAAAACCTTCAGGTTTATGGAGAGCATTTTGAGTCACAGGTGCGATACTGATTTCTTAGGTCTGGTCTCAGGGATTTGGAATGAGCACATTTTGCAAAGAAATAGACTTCCTTTATCTTTAAGAAGTATGAATTCTGAAGGTGTTTTCTCACATTTTCATCTTGGCTTCTTTTGTTTATAGGAACATCATCTCCAGCGGGCTATCTCAGCACAACAGGTGTATGGAGAGAAGAGGGATAACATGGTTATACCGGTTCCAGAAGCAGAAAGTAATATTGCATACTATGAATCTATATATCCCGGAGAATTTAAAATGCCAAAGCAGCTGATTCACATACAGCGTAAGTAACTTCTGAATTGAGAACTTTATTTTGCTAGTAGTTAGAGATTATTCTTAAATGTCTGTTGAGCTCACATCAAGACCAACTTCTGAGATTTTTTTTCCAATATGCGAAAGAATACATACTTCTTACTAGGAGTTGTAGTTAGGTTTTGATCAAGAAGTAGATGGATGACCTTCTTGAGTCTATGTCTGCATATTATTACTTCAGATTTAGTGATCTCAAGGCTTGTGTCTGCCCTCTGTAACAATCAGTAGTTATATCTTGCAGGGAAGTTTAGGTTTGTTTGCAAGGACAGAAGCAAATTACATAAAGAGGAGAATATATAACACATAGTTAAGAAACAAGAGTACCTGTCCCCTGAAGCTTAAGCAGGATAAGATGGCAGTAGAGTGGATTGGGCAGCCAAGCAGAAATTGCAGTAGTAGTAGTATTTGCCTACGCCTGAATGGAAGTAGATCTGAAAGTAGGTGGGGTTTTATATCACCGCTGACTTGCAAACATGTTAGTGTGTTGGTTTTGTTTAAAGGTGTGTTGTTTCTGTTGTATTGGTGTGAGCACCACGTTACTTCAGATAACTTTTGAGAACATTATAAAAATATATTCTGTTGCAGAATTATGTTGCAGAATGTAATTAGTAGAGTTCTAAAAGTATTATCTGTGCTATGTAAAAAGGATCTCATGCCAAATTAACTTGAGATAAATGTTAGACTTCTGCATCGGTCTGAGATTCAGTGATGGCTTAAAGTATTAGAATCATAGGATAGTTTGGGTAGGGACCTTTAAAGATCATCTGACCCATGTCCTCCTGCAGTGAGCAAGAGGCATCTTCTACTAGATCAGGTGGAAGATCAGGTAGATTAGAGCATGTTGCTCTGCTCCTAAGCAAGTGAAGAGATTAATACTAGCAGCCTTCTATGCAGTTACTAAGATTACACTTTTTCATTCTTCTTTTCCGTATCTAGTGGTCTAACAGATGAAGTTGTGGTTTTCAGCTGCATTGTCTTCTACCTATTTATTTATTAAAAGCAAGTGATTCTTTTCACAGTATGTTTCCAGATGTGCACTTGAGAAGAAATATTTTTCTGTCCCTTAAACAACTTCAATGAGCACTAGGGAGATCTTGTTTTGAATGAAAATTGTTGCATTTCCATTGGTTGTCGGGGAAATCAGAACAGTTGTGTTCTGCAAAACAGTACTTTGTTTCAAGATGCCTTGCTACATAGTATAGGCCACATAGTCTGTCTCCCCTATATCACACAAATCGTTGGTGAGAATATGGGTAAGGTCACCACGCTACGATCTGCACGTAATCTTTTAGAAGTATCTTGGAAGTGTGTTTGTGCTGAAGCCTTAACTGTTGATAATAAAGTACATACAACTGCAGAATGATAGACAGCATTTAAAATTTTGGTCTAAAAGTTTCCTACTGAAAGCAGTGAGGCAGAAAGCTGCTAGCTGGTTTGACCACTACTGAGCTTTCATTGGTTAACAAAAACATAGTCAAATATATACAAACTCGTACTCCTGATTTTTAATGGTGTTTTTTTTTTTTTCAAGGGAAAACTAGCTATAAATTTGAAGTAGCGTTACTACAATGTTCAACCAAACAATTTTGATTTTGTCTTCAAAAGAACCTGGTGTGCACTTCAGACACTGCTATTAGAATGAAACATTTCTGTAGTAAAACTAACTTTCACTCTCACTGCATTGTTTAGCTTTTAGTTTGGATGCTGAGCAGCCAGATTATGACTTGGATTCGGAAGATGAGATCTTTGTGAATAAGTTGAAGAAAAGAATGGACATCTCTCCTTTGCAATTTGAGGAGATGATAGACAGACTAGAAAAGGGCAGCGGTCAGCAGGTACAGTGGTACTTTGAGTAAAGAATTTGAAATACACACTCTCTGTATTGCTATATGAAAGTGACTTGCTGGGTTTTACATTTAGCCAGTCAGCCTGCAAGAGGCCAAGCTGTTGCTGAAGGAAGATGATGAATTGATCAGAGAAGTGTATGAGTACTGGATTAAAAAGAGGAAAAACTGTCGAGGTCCCTCTCTTATCCCAGCAGTGAAACAAGAGAAGAGAGATGGTTCCAGCACAAATGACCCTTATGTTGCTTTTAGAAGACGAACGGAAAAGATGCAGACACGAAAAGTAAGTAGATGGGTACTTCCCTCTACTTACTTTCTCTTCCTTCTCCCCCTCTGTGAAAGCAGCTTATGTAAAGTTCTGCTAGGCAGCATAAAACAGTACAAGTTAGGATGTTCTCTTATTTTAATTTGTAAGGGTAAAAAACTACTTTAAGGTGGCTGTTGAAAGTTTGTCTTCAGTTTTTGATGAAACTTACTGCTAGACCTATTTGCAGTGTTGGTAAGCTGTAGCTCATTGATAACATGCACGTGCTTCTCTTTGGTTTTAGCATGTGGGGTTTTTCAATATATGTAAATACTTAAAACTTCAGTGCAGATTATTTAAGTCATGTGGTGAAACGTGGTGAAACACTGTGTATTTACAGAATCGAAAAAATGATGAAGCATCTTATGAGAAGATGCTTAAGCTACGTCGAGATCTGAGCCGTGCAGTAACCATCCTGGAGATGATAAAGAGAAGGGAGAAAAGCAAGAGAGAATTGCTGCATTTAACACTGGAAATTATGGAGAAGAGGTAATATTTATTGAAAATTTGCTGCAGAAAGCTTGGAAACTACTTTGTACTCGAATTCTCACAAATGCTTAGAACAGGGAGAGATTTTTAAAATAACTGTTTAGACTCATATTTACAAGGTAGCATATTTTCATATATGGCTACGGAGAGCAAAACAGACACTAGGAAGTTGCTTATTATGAGAAAGTGACGTGTCACACTAAGTTGTTGTGAGTGTTACATGTATTCAAATGTGTGTTTATATCCTATACAGGAATAGAGATGATAGTTTCAGATAAATTAATTGGGCAATTTGTGTTAAGTATGTAAATTACGGAAATCCCAGCTAATTTAGGTCGTTTCCAATCATTGCCATTCTTTTTCTATTATTTTTTATTATTACTGTTCTTTTTTAGCAGAGCTTGATCTAATACCCTCTTGAAGAAAACAGATAAACATTTCGTACAGTATAAAATGTTGTTCTGTGAGTCATCTCCAACTGGTCTTTCTTTTGACATCCTGTTTGTCAGCTGTGCTGAAGACCAAATGCTCTGCTCTGTCAACTGTCACTTCCCCAGTTGACTGAGAATCCTGTTTGCAGTGTGGAGTTGTTCTTTAGGTAGATGCTTAGAATCTGAGTAGATTTCTCTAGTTTAAGTATCTATATTTGGAAGCAATGTTTTGAGTCATTATTTTTAATCCCTAAAAATAAGTCTTCTTACTAAGGGAAGCAAGTTGAGTGTCTCTGCCAGGGATACTTTTTCTGAGCACTAAGCATTTTCAGTAGGAATAGGGAGAGGAAAAATCTTACAGATTTTACAGTAGCTTTTTCAAGAAGATCAGCTGTTGAATAGAGAAAAGACTCTTAATGCCGCTCTCAAAATGGAAGATTGCCCTTGAACTCAGCACTTCCCACAGGATTTGAAATGTAGTAGGTTTCATGGATCTGCTTGTTGTGAAACTATTCCATAGCACAGAAGAGGGAGGGTTGATAAGGGACTCTGCCCCACTGTTTAAAACATTTTGGGAGATAAATGTTTATTCTTTAATGGTACCTCTCCCCATGTGAGTGGGGAGGGAAACACTGTCCTTGTTCTTTCCTTCTAGTTTCTGCTTCTTTCCTTTACTTATTATCTTTTGAAGATGTTTTACAGACCTTATGGGGTGTAGTTATCCTTTTATTTATTGTCAGCACTAGTTATTGCAGTGGAGTTTTCATGTTATGAGTCCCCTTTTCTGGAACAATACTGCCTGTACTTCTTGCTGTCATCCTGGATGTCCCTTTACCCTGTGTTGCAAGTATCAGTCTGTGTTTCTTTGCGTGGCACATTTTAAGTGTTGCAACAAATAAAAAAATAAATAAATTCTGATTTCAGGTATAATTTGGGTGACTACAGTGGAGAGATCGTGTCTGAGGTCATAGCACAGCGGCAGCCAGTTAAACCTACCTATGCTATTCCCATCATTCCTATGACTAACAGCAGTCCTTTTAAACACCAAGAAGCTATGGAACTGAAAGAATTTAAAGTTAAAGTGAGTAATGTCAGTAACCAAGTTACGAGTTCATGCTGTTGCCTGTGCAAGGTAGCGCGTTTCAGGATGAGAGGAGGGAGGAAGCTTTTTGAAACCGGGAATAAGCTAGCAAAGCTGCAGTTGTAAAAAATGCTGTGTTCCATTGGAGTTATGATGGTACTTACAGACTAATGGCTTTCCTGAGACAGAAATAACAGAAGTATATATACAGCTTGCCTAACTAGAGCCAAAAAGTTATATGCAGTTATATTCTCGTTCTGGAGGATACTAATGTTTTTCTATAGTAATATCTGTAAATGTAGGATATCCTGAAGAAAGTTGTGTGTGTTACCTAGATACTGGACAAAGATAGGACTAATGAGCTAGAACTCATATCTTGTTCTGAATTAATGTATTTATTTTAATCTGGAGGGTTATTTTTTGTTTGTGTTTTGGTTGCGGTTTTATTTGTTTGATTGTTTGGTTTTTTTACAACATGATCCACTGATAACCCCCAGCATGCAATATATCTTTGGTTTTGTACTGAAGTAATGTATCAAATAATCTTACTTCATTTAGAAAGCTGACCAGCATGTTTTTTTCCTGCAAGCTTTAAGTTTGTGTCATACAAAGCATAGCTACTGTGCCTGCAACTGAACGTATTAGGCCAGGTAACACAGAAGGAATGCTGAGGTACAATTTGAATTTTAAACAAAAGCTACTTAACTGAGGGATGTCCAGAGGCTGTTGTTGAGGGTTATCAGGCTGAATCTGACAGGTTGTCTTGAATCAGTGAATACCTGAATTGACAGTAGAGCGCTGTAGTTGAGATTGCTGGAGTGTACTTACCTGTTAGTGATTCTGGATTCATGCAATGTCTTGCAGTTTGAAAGGAATCTATTTCTTGTAAACTTGGGAAATGCGCTTAAACTCCACTTGGCATAGTATGGGCAAGTGTGTTTAATTTGTAGAGGATTTTCTTGAGATTCTAGGTATCTTGGAGAATTCTTCTTTTCTTGCCTTTAAGATGTTGTTTGATACTCAGTAATTCCCTAACACTGCATAAATGCCTAATAATGTTAGGAAAAAAACTCAACCAGTGCCTCATGGAGATCATTGTATCTCTTTTAGTCTGCTTCTCCAAAGTAGTACCAATATCTTAACCACTAGTGTTTTAACCTAGTATGGATTGAGCAAACAGAGATTCCACCTTGTCTGTTAAATGTTTCAGTTACTGGAAGTGAAATAGAAGTATTCATTGAATGACCACTTGTATTGCTATCAAGATGGTGAAGACATTAGTTCACTTTTTAGCTTGCTTACAAAGGAGTTTTAGAAAACTCCTGTTTAATTTGCTCATGTATGTAATTTTCCACCACTGTGGGTTTTTTCTTGCAGCAGGATAAACCTGATGTTATTAGACCCAAAAGAAAGTATGAGAAGAAGCCAAAAGTCTTACCTTCGTCTGCTGCTGCTACTCCTCAACAGACAAGTCCTGCTGCACTGCCAGTCTTCAATGCTAAAGATTTGAATCAGTATGATTTTCCCAGCTCGGATGAAGAACCTCTCTCCCAGGTAGGACCTCTAGAGCTCTGTGCTGCTCTTGGGGAAGGAATAATCAAGTGCTCGCGTCATCATGAATTTGCTGCTCTCTCCTCATACACCGCTTTACCACCCCATCCCCTCTTTAAAGGTTTTGTCTGGTTCTTCGGAGGCTGAGGAGGAAAATGATCCCGATGGTCCTTTTGCCTTCCGTAGGAAAGCAGGCTGTCAGTACTATGCTGTAAGTAGAATTGCCTTCTGTATCACAAAACTGAGCATTGCTGGGGGAAAACGTCTTATATTTAATTGTTTTAAATTATTTTAAGCCTCATTTAGACCAACCTGGCAACTGGCCATGGAGTAGCCCTAAAGAGGGAAGATTAGGAGATGTGCGTTACAGATACTGCTTAACTACCCTCACTGTACCCCAGAGGTGTATTGGGTTTGCACGAAGACGGGTCGGCCGTGGTGGAAGGTAAGTGTTACATAGTTGTTGCTGATTTTAAAAATTATTTTTTCTTTTAAAAAAGCCAACCAAACAAAAATCAACCGGTAAGACATCTTTTAAAAGACCAAATTTAAAAAACACAAAACAAACCCACCCAACAAACAACCCCAAACTCAAAAATGGAGGTATCGGGGGATCGGCTTTTTAAATACTCCCATCTGATACAAGTTTCCTTAGCTGGTTGTCTCCATTTTTCTTTTGCAGTAGCCAAAGCCAGTTGAATACTGTTTCCTTAAATGTTTCCAAAGCTTTTTATTGCTGGTACTAAGTTCTGAGGTAGAAATACATGTAATTTGTATTTAAATGATTTGCGTAGTTGTCTTCAAATAGTAGTACTTAAAAATAGCAAAAATCACCTTGTTGAGAAAAGGCGGTCCAGTTGTAGAGGAGAATTTTGGGAGGAAAACTTGTAAATTACACTAACTGTTAAATTTCACATATTTTCAAAAATACCAAATGATTAAGGACTCACTTAGAAGCAAAATGCCTGAAGTATCTTTACTGAAAACAGTTTATCCATTGTTCAGTGCGTAAGTGCTATTTCTTAAATATTGTATGCTGTCTTTAAGAAAATGGCAAGTTGGTATTTAAAGTTTATCTGAAAAAAGTATAAGAATGTGATTTGGCTTTCAAGATTAACAGTTAGAAACCCTTCACACAGTAGTAAGTCAGACTGGCGTATCAGCAAAATCAGAATGGGAGCCAAAGGTGCCTGTACGGGGGTTTTCTAGTGGGATTTGGAAGTTACCGTGTGACATCCCCACTGCACTGGGGTGGGTGTAGGTATATTCAGTGTATATGGGAGTAAAGCTTTTGAGCTGAAGTTACTTTAGGAGAACATCCAAATTGCTTTTTAGTTAACTTAAGCAATTTTATTCTCTAGGTTTTTTTTCTTTGCGTTGTGAAACTATCCTCCAGCCTGATACAAAAAAAAAGTTACATATGTTGTCACAGTGTTTTAATGTATAGATTATTATGTATGTCAGCTGTTCAAACAGTAGAAGCTAGAATATACGTGTGAGAAGAAACCTAATTGTATTACTTACTGTAAAATAATATGTAGTCATATATTCTGTGTTTGGTTTTTGGGGGTGGGAGTTGTTGCTTATTCTGGGACAGTTTTGCATAGTTTCTTTTACTTCTAGCCCTTTGTCATCCCCAAGGACACATGGCATGTTTGGGGTTTTTTTTCCTTTTTTTTGCCACTGTGTAATTCTGCATTGTTTTCCCATTTTAGGGTGCTACTAGACAGAGCACATTCGGACTATGATAATACATTTCATCAGCTGGATTTGGAAATGCTTTCCTCATCGCAACACTCTTCAATCAGTCAATTTGCCAATACCTCAGAAACAAATACCTCGGACAAATCTTTCTCGAAAGACCTCAGTCAGATACTAGTCAATATCAAATCATGTCGATGGCGGCATTTTAGGCCTCGGACACCCTCCCTGCATGACAGTGACAATGATGAACTCTCCTGTAGGAAATTATACAGGGGTATAAATCGAACAGGCACAGCACAACCTGGGACCCAGACATGCAGTACCTCTATACAAAGTAAAAGTAGCAGTGGTTCAGCACACTTTGGTATGTTTATTTTCACAAACTTGCTTCTAGAGATTTTAAACTTGGCTCTGAAAATCCAGAATATTGTTAGTTCACCCATACCTGACGTCATGGTCTGTTTTGATGATATCAGCCCATCTTCATTTTTATCTCTTTATTTGCTACACAGAACATTTATTTACTGCTAGCAGTTGTGTACTACATCTCAAATTCATGCAAATGCAACCGTGGTATGTAATTATAGTTTTAGAAATATGAGGATTTAGAAGCCGATATTGTGTAGAGTTTGACTCTGAAGATCTGGATTTTTAAAACAAAAAATGTTTGTATAAATAGTATGTTCCAGATTTTTTCTAGTACAAGGTATGGTGGTGGGAGATGGTTAGATAAAATGTTACATATAAAATCCCAACATGTTTATGAAATATTATTTGAACTTCCATGAATTTAAATGCCATTTTCCATCCAAAAAATATCCACCCCACCTCCACCGATGTATCTGCTCATGCTTAGCAAAACTCTCAGAATAATGACCTCTGCATCTTGTCAGCAAGTGGCAGATTGCATCTTACAGAACCTGAAGTACAGAATTGAGGACCTGACTCTAAGAAAACTGAATGTGGTCTTCATTGTTATTTAATTTGAATGCTATTGGATAGCATCACTTGTTATATTGGATTCTTTGCAATGAAAGACTGGTCTTCTGCATAGAATGTAACTTAATCCTGAATTTTGATCAGTCAGTACATTAAATGTCATATTTTTATAGGAAGTGATGTAGGGTTTTTTTATAAGGATATAACTTTAAAAGTTCAGCAGCATTTTGTAAGTAGTCTTATTTTCCTTGCTATTTTTAATTATGGCTTTGGATATAAATAAGAAAGCTTGGATAGTGTAGGAAGTTGGGTGGGGAGAGATGCATATGCCTGACAAACCCACCAAGTTGTGGGGTGTTCTGGAGATTTGCTCAAAGAATTTATCCCTGGTATGACATTACTTTAATTCTCCTGTTTTCCACTACATTTCCTCCTTACATCGCTTCCCCCTCCGCCCCTGAAAATTCTTCCTTGCATTTTTAGATTTTATTGGGCAGCTTTGTTCTGCTGCTGTATTTCATGCTTGCTCTCTGTGCTGTCCTAGAGTAGGTCTTTGCCCTCCATCTTCTGTTCTTTCCTCTCTTATGACTCTCACGAAATGTATTAGGGCTACAACTGAAGGCTCTCCGGGTTTGTGATCTAAGTAAGGCTTTTGGAGTTTAAATTCTGCCTCTCCGATGTTTTAAATCAGTACACCAAGTCCAGAGGAGAGCGTGATCTGTCTTGTGGTGAGAGTCTGAACTGTGATAAAATGATGGTCAGGTTACTAGTGTGAAAACAAAACTGATGTGTGATGAATGGGTGGGAAATACGTTACACCTGAAAATCACATAGACTTGAAGAATTGGCTCTTTAAAGTGAGTTTAAAGCATGTGTCTTTGTGTGTATGTAAATACACGAGCACAGACACCTCATAGAATTTTTTTCCTTGATCAGATCATTAAGATATTTATCTACATTCTTTTAGTAATTAAATGCAGCTGTTATTTATGGTGATGAGTTCTGTACAGAGTTTTAATTGTGTGGTTGTATTTTTTAGCCTGTGGGGAAGTGATACATGCGCATAAGTACCTAGCATATTACATTCATTTGTGCTTAGAATTCTGTGCGGATAGCTTATCATCTGTGTAAAATATTCCAGTTGGTATTCCAAGCTTTTCTAAAATTAAATGTTGTGGAGTTTAGATTAATAGTTTTTACTAATGTTTGATACAGGAATTAAATAGTTGGTTAAAAATACATCTGTATCTGTATTCATAAATACACTTTAAAATAGTTACTGTAATCTTTGAGTAGTCTCTTTTTATTAATATAACCAGGTAGATTGTATCCACGTAATTATTTATCATCTTAAATCAGCATTCTTGTAGCCTTGGCGGCTTATATGACTTTGTGTATGTGTGATGTAATGTTTAGGTGTAGATGTTTGAAAGGAGCATGTGGTCTAGTTCCTCTTGGTGGCATTCTGCTTTTCAGTGTTCTTTTTTTCAGTTTCTTAAAGGATTCTTTTAAGATACCTTGTCTACAAAGATTACAAGTGTATTCGTACGTCTCATGTAGGAGTTCTTCAAAGGTACTTGTAAGTTGGGGCTGCAGCTGCTGAGATACGTTTCCTTCCTTTTTGTAGAAAATACTGTGAAGAATGTCAGGTATTTAGCAACTGTACTGAAGTTTTTCTCATGGTCCCTACTGCAGATTTCCAACTCCTTTTTCTTTGCCATCTTTAAAGGTGGGAGTTTGTTGAGGGTGTGGATCTTTTAGTTTTGTTTCTCTTTGTTTCTGAAGTGGCAGTAGGTCTTTTTATTGGAAAGCAGTTCTTAATGCATCTATATTTTTAAAAATTCTTTTATCCTTTTGCTGCTACTGTGAGTTGTGATCAAACCATATTGTTCACTTCTAAGTTGAAACTTACCCTGAGATTCTGTTGTGACCAGCAGAGGTGGTTGTGTTTCTGTGTTTATTGTGCACCACCGTGTGATACATTTGGTCTATTTCCATATTAAAGGAGTTCAGGGAAGTCTTGAGCTTTTTTCACCTTGAATGATCCGGACAACATGCTGCTGACATGGGAAAATTGCTGTGGAAAACCTGGCTTTTCAAGTTTGTCAGACTTGTGGTGTGGTTTAACCCCAGCTGGCAACTAAGCCTGACCCAGCTGCTGCTGGGCACTTCCCGCCCTCCTCTCCCCGCCTCCCCGCTTCGGTGAGATGGGGAGGAAAATGAGAAGAGTAAAAATGAGAAAACTTGTGGTGTGAGATAAAGGCAGTTCAATAACTAAAGCAAAAGCTGCACGTACAAGCAAAGCAACACAAGGAATTCATTCCCCACTTCCCATGGGCAGGTGGGTGTTTGGGAAAGCAGCGCTCCATCGTGTGTAATGGTTACTTGGGAAGCCAAACACCATCACTCTGGATGTTTCCCCCTCTTCCTTCCTCCTTTGCCCAGTAGTATTGCTGAACGTGATGCCGTATGGTGTGGGCTATCCTTCTGCTTTCCTGGGATCAGCTGTCCCAGCTGTGTGCCCTCTGAAGTCCTTGTGCACCCCCGGCCTCTGCACTGGTGGGGTCTGACACAGAAAAGGCCTTGACTGTGTGAGCACTGCTCAGCACTAGCTAAGTCATCCCTGAGAGATCAACACTGTCTGCAGCAAATTTCCAAAGCAATGTCCTAAGCTAGCTACTGCAAAGGAAATTAACTGTATCCCAGAGCACAGGCATGAAGGTGAGATGCTGTCTTGGGTCTTCTGTTAATGAGAGGACACATGACAAAAGCTGTGCTGTGACATAACTGTTCTCTGGCTACAGGAAGTGGTGTTTGTCATCCTGGAGGTTGGAGAGAGGTTTCCCCAAAGAGCTGGGCATTTTATAAACACTTTTTAAGTGCCTTTGACCCTGAACAAATGCAGGTTGTTCTTGTTCTGGCTTTCAGAGCACTCAGCATAAAAGATCTGGGGAAGGTTAAGTTGTTGCATTGAGATTTTGTGTGTAAACTGAGAAGGGGTGTCTGAAAAAGGAAAAAAAAAAATCCCTTACAAGTTACTGGATAACAGGGCTTGGACATTTGTGTGCGGAAGTGTGGAATTTGGCAGCAGGATGAAGTGGTCTAGAAAAAGGTATCACTTTTGAAGAGGATGGTTCCTTTTCATGTTATCAAAGAAATAAAATTCTTTACCCTCTTGCAAAAAGAGCCAATTCAAGGATCTTCAGGCCTGTGTTACAAAGAACACTACTAAAAAGCAGACAAAGGTGTAAAAGCATAATTCTTGTGGAGAAGTCGCTTGTTCCGTGGGGAAGCTATTCACTCTGAACAAAACACAACAAAATTACTTTGGAAAAGGAGTCTGCACTGCTGACAGACTTGTAAAAGTTTGTGAGTCATAAGACACAAGCTCCATCGCTGAAGATTAAGTCTGGAGGGTACAGTAGGCATGAATATTCATCTGAAGTATTTGTGTCCCAGGAATTTAGTCTTCCTTCTGAGACTAATTGATTGATCTAGTTCTGCCAGGCAAGTGATAGTCTCAAACTGCATCCCATTATAGAGACTGTGCTTTCTGCTGCAGACCTGTTAAATATGTCACAGTCATATTTTTGGATGCTTGCATCTGCTAATCAAAAGTTTGAGCTACTTAAAACTGTACAGCATGTATGATTCGGTTTCAGCCTCGTTTTTAGCAGGCAGAGCAGAGGTCGCAGTCATCAGTGAAGGGCTGGAGCACTGGTTCCCAGGCTCCTCCACAGTAAGACCAGACAACCGTCTGGCATTCTGTTCTTCCCTGCCTTTTTCACCCAGAATCTGAGTCACTTTGAAAAGAAGGTGTGCAAGCTGTCAAGACTGAAGAGACTAGCAGTACTAGTGTGCTCACTAAATTTGTAATTCTTTTCTTTGAGAAGAAGCTTAAGTATTCTAGCAGAAGCCTTACTGAAAATTCTTAAAAGATATTTGGGGTTGTAGACATTACTGTATATGAAAAACTGTAGGCACAGTTCAAGAATTCAGAGTAGCTTACCTTGCATTTCGTTGTAAACTAGGGATTTAGGTGGCGTGCTGCAAGTTGGACTTTGCTATTCAGTAACTTCTGTGGGAATGCTGTAGAAATAACATCTTTCCCCAGTAAGCTTGAATGCTTTTTTGGCTCTCTTTATCTGCCTTTTAAAAGCACATCTGCACATTTGGGGATCTGACAGGATAGTGAACTGTGCTTCTGTTTCCCAGATGTGTGCTTAGCATTTTACATCTCCAAATACGTAATGTTGGTTGATGGATCAGTACTGTATTTTCACATCCTCCTTAGGGATACCTGACACCTGTCTTCAGGCATCCCTTTCCTGAGAGAAACAGGAGGAAGCTCCTCAGTTCCTGTGACAGTTACTCGCACCGGAGGACTTGTCCTACCCATTGCTTTTATGTCGTCACTGCTGCGTT